AGACATAAAGACTGGACAATAAAACTGTATACAGAATAAGGATAGACTATTCAGGTTCTCACCCTCCTGACAAGATCCTTGTGTTGAGCAATACCGGCACATGCAGCTAGGAACCAACAATCAGACAGGATACCTTGTATGACATCCTCACGACTTGTACCGTCTACAAACATGCATGGTTCATCGCAGATTTCCTGTTCAAATTTGTTTTCAAATAGCAAAAGATATTGATATTATTCAATGAAATTATTCAATGAAATGTGAAGATTTATCAACTAGGCTTGGTACAATCCTAGAGGCCCAAAAATTATTACTTTCAAGGGTCTAAGCCATGTATTTTTAAAATAATACAAACCTCCAAAATGCTTCTTGGTTCCTCTGTTAACATAACTTTCTTTTTATTTGTCTTTTCATTATTTCAAAATTAAAAGGTATTTTTCAATAAATTTAACCCAAAAGGAAGGGCAAATAATTTCATACATTGACAGAGAGTGTTACACTGCAGAACAACTGTGTCCTAGAAAAATTTATTGTTTCAAACCTTGTTTCAAACAGTTTTACAATACATGTAATTATTCGACGCAATTTTCTTTGTGATGGTACCGTACGGCAACTAAATGTGCGCAAAGATTAACTTACTGAAGGTCTCTTCCAAACGATGTCTTTGTTTCTTTCTGCATCCAAGAAAAGTGAGGAGGTATCCGCTGGGAAATCTGGATCTTCATATAAGTTGCCTTCTAACATGTTCTCAAGCCTCTCCTTAAACACAACATAATCCTGTGAAATCAAAGTTGACAACACAAGGTTTGCTCAGAAAATGCAAATATATGAGGGACACGGATAGGGCAATTGATAACAGGCAAGTTTTATAGAAATTATGTTAATACAGGTAACGTGTGTGACCGTACAGTTGTCGAGTCCCTAATTTAGCTACCCACATGTACTGTCAAGTTTGGTTTTCACAGTAAGTGGCGAAATATGGGACCTGGTGACTATACGGTCCCACAAGTTACTTCCTAACAAAATAAAGGATTGTGATACTTGCCCTAAAATGGTTTCTCCCATACCCCAAGACTATTCAAATGCAAGCAGTTAAAGAGTGGTGTTGTACGAGAGCCTGACACAAATCCAAAGAAAAGAAATGAGAACATACCTCTGTGACTCCTAAGATAAGTTCATGATCAGGATGTGGTTCTTCCGCTTCCTCCTCGGGTTCTGCTTCTTCTGATTTCATCTCCTCACACGTCCAGAATTCTGCCTGATCTTTGATAAGTGGAACTGATGCCTTTCTTTGTCCCATCAGATGGGCATCTTCAGTAGGTGAAGGGCAAGCATTTGGAAGACTGACTTCAAAGTTAGCAGATTTTGCAGCTGGCTTTGCTGATGTTTTAGAGTTCAAGTGAGTATGCGGTAGGTGTTTATTTGGATGTGGACGTGTCGCCGTTTTGAAAGCTGGTTCTGTGGGTTTATGCAGTCTTCTGGTTGTGGATTTGGGATTCTTAGGTTTAGACTTAGTCCGAGAGGGTGTGATGTGGGATGGAGCTTGAGGTGGGTTAAGAGTGGCTACGCCATGGTTGTAACTTCCAATACCTGGTGGTTGGTTTGGATACAGTGTCATGTGATCCATGGTGATCTTATCCTGTCGAGATTGTAGAGAATCCTCATTGGATGGTGATGTTTGATTGTGGTATCCATTGTAGAAACTACTGTAAGTATCATTCTTTTTTGGATGGGACTGGTTGGTGTTTGTGGGACCTCCACTGATGTAACCACTACCTTCCAATGAAGGGCTGCATCCCATGTTTACTTGTTCTTGTATTCAATGGATCCTGATATCAGCTAGGCCTAAAGGAAACCTTGGGGGAAATGAAAATGACACATTGAAATGGATTAAGCTAAAATTATCACTGTGATCCACAGGGCATGTCTAATTAGCAAGGGGCAATGATGCCTCACCCTTAGACCATGGAGGAAGGAGGGGCTCCATGCTTAAACTTAGAGCAGCGTCAAAGGATTTTTGCGTCAACTTAAATGAACAAAACATCAAACAACTTGTCACTATAATTGGCGTGTAACATCATCAAGCACAGTGTGGTGTATTCCTCCGTCCAGTTAGCCCACCAATTAAGTCGGCCTGTCGACAGTCGAACTTCTGATGACTAAAGTAAAGGCAAGCCTTCAACTAAGTCGTGCAAACGTCCTGCAGCCTGTGCAGGAGCTCACAACTGCTCACCTATTGAAGATTCGGGAAACTCTTGACACAGGTGCTTCTTCATTTTCCTTAAGACGCCAGTGGCGATGATATTCAACGCTCTGCTTTCACTTTCATCTTAATCGTGTTCATTTGGATAAAAAAGTGTAGGCCTAGACCAGAATTTGGCCAATCGACCAACAGCGTCGATCGGTACCGTACCGTGCACTATGCATGGAGTGCAGTGTGTACGTTACGTTACCGCATGGCTGTTGGTGAATCAATTTTTAGCAACTTAAGTAGAACGTCTGACCAATAACAAAGGGCTTGTGTGGTTTCCTCATTTATCATCGACTGTCACCTTTTGTCATCTCTTAGCTACGGAGAAATGTTGATAACTACCTAACTCGCAAAAAAACACTGGCATATCCTTGCCAGCCCGTGATGGGTATTTGTTACATGTAAATGAGTTCCCTCATAGAAATATGGAATGATCACTATCGTTTCCAAGCAAGAATCACTTGTACATATTTTAGGACACTTGTGATTTACTGGTGAAGTTTATTATTACACTCTTCGGAAAATGAGGCAATTTTGCGGAACAGTATAATCATGGTATAATGTTTGCCTACCCCCACCACACCCGCCCCTCCCTGCCAACAAGAAGCTTCTACGTCCTTCACCAATTTATCCAACTCACAAGCATCACAGACTCCGCACACTGGTTTAAAAAGTAAATACACAAATTTCAATTCTACGGAAACTGAAAATCTCAGTCTTTTCTTTATTGGCAACAAATAAATACAACTGTTGTGCCATAAACGTACATGTACAGTACCTCAATTTCCATACGCATAAAAGACAACAAATAAATCTCATAAAAAAGCATAAATCTGCAAAAACAGTTTAACTGCGGGGAAAGTAAACAAATAAAAATCAATGTTTAAGAGCCATATACCTTATTATGACACATTCAAATTTAAGGAGTTTTTAAACTTTTGCTTATCTAAAGTGAAAAAAAGAATTGACATGAATTACCATCAAAATTTCAACTTTTTTTCTCTTTGATAACAAAAGCTCTTTAAATATACACAAAACATAAACATCTGTTTGATCAACCTTTATTCTCCACACAAGGCATGCCCCTTAGAAACCAATTACATGTACTATCCTGTCTGTAATTCCTATTGAATTCGTTCAGTATCAGCAAATAATTGACAAATTTTTCCTGAAACCATCTGAAACTTTTCGAGAAAATTAATTACTTCACAAAAAGTTGCTCATTTCCAATCCCCAATCTTCATTTGAGTTTAGAATCAACCATTTTTGTGCAGAAGAGATTAAGCTCAAGTAGAAAGACAACATCTGAATTACGCTCATATACACACAGATCAACATCCTATTACATGTATTTCAAAACTCAGAGTCAAATGTGTCACAACATCTGAACTTGGAGAGTGCATCTGCTCAGACTCCATGGAACATAAGAACACCTCTAAATACTGCTAATTATGTTTGCAAGAGTGATGGCCAACACTGCAAAGCGATCCGGAAGATGTCCACCTTTTACAGCGTGTAAATTGTCACTGTTAAATCTGTCCTTCCAAGTGTGTCCCTGATCACTGTAGTAACTCTATCCCACTTCAAACCATCAAGTCCACAGCCAATCCTTGGCATGGATACATTGTGAACATTATTCCTGATGCAGTGATCAGCCATTGCTCTCAGGCTTCTTGCTAAGCTGTCATATGTGGGCTTGTTCCAATATTTCTCTTTGGTTACCTGCATTTGAAAATTAAAATAGACAACAATCTTTCAAGAATTCTTTCATATTATTCTCCTTTTAGTTTTACACATTCCTCAAGAGTTTTCCTCATTGCTCTTAAGTGATAAATGTACACTTTGTTTTTATTTAAAATGATTCTAGTTCTCAGCTTCTCGGCATTTATGGAAATCTGATTCCCTCACCAGATAATAAATGAAACGGTTTCCTCGTTTCAACACAGCAACTCCTCCTGGCTTCACACCTGGCAATCAGAGGGAGAAAAGGTAAAATAAGGTTACAGAGGTAAAGAAATAACAGAAACTTTAACCAGGCACAGTCACACATTACTTCAATTTCAAGTTACATGTAATTTCAAAGGTGTACTGGGGTTACACTTACAGATAATGTCAGGTTACATGTATGTCATAACCTGTTATTCCATAACCTTTGATTGGATACTGCCCAAATTGAAACTAAATATCAATCCTTGCAGATTTCAAGACGCGTCCGAGATGGTTCTCCCATAAGTAATACTAACAAACTTGGATGCAAAGATGCTGATGTCAAACTTGGTCACTGATCAATTAATTACCCTGATTCAAGAGTTCCCTCACTCCTCCAAACTTCTCTTTGAAGATCTTGGCAATACCCTTGCCCATTCTAACATCTTCACTGATGCAGTGTGCGAGACACTCATCATCGGAACATCCAAACAAATCTCCTCTCATCTCCTTCATCTGGAAACCCTACAAGGTTATATCACGATACAAGGTGTGTTGACTTGATTTTACTAATATTTCAATTATCTTTAAGTACGACCAGTATTTTACCACAAGGGGTATATTCTGGAGGCTAGCTTAAAGTACTCATCAGACCTAACTTGGTAAAACAACTTCACAATTTACAGGTCAATTTCTCACGCACCTTAAGGAGTTCCATATACGGACAACCCTTATTTTCCCTTAAAATGTTATAGCGGCTGTCGGAGTGAAAACATCCCAAAAAGTGAAATTTAGAAGAGAAAACTCTGAAGCGTTTACTTAGAAAATACTTAGGTTTCTGCAAACAAGTCTCACAGGTTTATGCACAGGGGCATCAAGTGTTGTACAAGTACATATAGGCTATGGAACTCTTTCCTGACCCCATCTCAATGTGATTCACCCAACCTCATACATGTATTTATGCATTAAAAAATTATAAAGTCTTTGTGGTTAACAAACCCTTGTTGCTGATGCAGCCCCACCACCAGCCCCTTCCCTTCCTTCAGTCTCATCTGATTTTTCATCATCTTTGCGGGTATCCTGTCTTGCCTTCTTGACAGTTTCTTGTCTTCCTCCATCCTCAGACAGATTTTCTGATTTCATTTCTTTGGGTCGTTTGGTAATGGTAACGTAGCGGTCCATGCTTTGAAAACATTCAAACGAAAACACCTGCTTTGTGGAGATGGACGATTTACTATTCTTGAGAGATGTGTTGCTTTATAAAGATTTCTCACGTTCTGCATGAAGAGGAACACAAGTGCATGTACATACAGCACTAGCGCAGTGGTAATAAATGTTAGGCTAGTTTTAGTCATTAGTAACCATTTTGTTCATCACATGCACACAGCACTTCATGTCGTAAGTCCACGAAGCTGAGCCGGAATTAGATCACCGGCGTTTACACATGCCAGCACGCATGCTTGGGTATCATGAATTTACGGTGTACAAATGAATATGTAGTATGCGTGTAGCACAGGAACACGACTACTGCAACACGCCTTATACAGCCATTATACACAAACACGCACCAGCCTATCACGAATTCTTAGACTATTCCATTATGAAAAGGGTAACTCATGTGCTTTGGCCTTGGCAAAAGAACAAAACTGTATGTGGATAATGATACTAGGCACTTTTTGAATAAAATGTTTCCAACCGAAGCCAAATGTATCGGTTGAATACATTCTACAATATGTTTATTGATTATTTCTTCAACCAAAATCATTACATCATTATGACTGGAATTAAGGAAAGGGCATTCCAATAAAGAAATTCACATATTTAAGGTAAAATACAAAATACTGCCCTGTTACGTCAAGCTAAAAGACAAACTTCTTTTATACCTGGGACTTCTGTCAGATCAGTAAACCAACTTTTGCTCCTGATGATGAAACAGTTTCAGCAGATTGACTGACATATACAGATCTGTAGTGAAGTCTTTACAGCGAGTCAATATTCAGTAACCAGAACTTAGACATGCATCAAGATATTTGAAGTCAAATGTTGACATCTGGTATCCCTTTTTGGAAATATCTTTATCACAATGGAAACCCCACTGGCATTATGGTTGGGCAGTCCAACCATAATGCACATTCTAATGCAGCGAATGAACGCTTAACGTTTCAATATAATCAGAAAGAATCGTCCTAAAATGTTCCAGAAGATCTAATCATCACTAAAATTAGCAAAGCTGGCATGTATCTCATCTGAACACAATAAATCCTACATGGCTAATAAAAGAACTGAAAATAGATGCAGATTGTTTCCACTGAATAATACCCTACAGACTTCAGGCCTGTGGAGGATTTTTTAAAAATGGCAAAATGCATCCCAGTCCTCATTATGAGACGACGCACTTCCAGGTATGAATGTTACAATCCTTCCAGCCACACCCCCTAGAGCAACAATGAGGGTGTGGGTTTCTTTCCAGGCCACGCCTCCTTTGCATATTTCTTCTTCTTGGGCAGTAAGTCTCCACCCATACTGGAAATGTGTGGCTGCAGCATTGGGGCAGAGGTAGGTGCCACCTCCTGAACAGGCGGCGCCATGTCCACATCTGGCGCCAAGTTAGGCGCATGCATAAGTCCCAGAGTGGAGCTCCCCAGCATGCCCACTGGGGGCGTAGATGGTGTGGTGGGTGTGGTAGGTGAGATTGGTTCACCACCTGCTCCGGGTAGATCAGCATAAAGAGAGGGCCCATAGTGAAGACCCTGCAATCTGCGCACCACATCATTAGCTGCACTGATACTAGCCGATTCCTCAGATCTTCGCTTCTGTAAAGACAAATTGCAAAAAAGAATTATGCACTCCTCCAAATTCTCTGCGAACCTTTGAACTTCTTACCCTAGTTAAAAGAATGCAAGCAATGCCTTAAAGACTGACCACCGATCATTGATGAACAACCATAATTACCAGACTGACTGACTTTTCACCTAAAAACAGAGTTTGAAAAAAAATTGTAAGCCCCAGCAATTATGAAATTCCAGGTAGTCTAAGATCCACATTGAACTAAAGTGAGGCAAACACATTTGACACTCAATTTTACCTTAACAGGGACAACTGATGTCTGGACCAAGTTCCTGAATCTTCCAACCGATGGATCAATATCCTCTGTGGGAAAAAAATAATTAAGATAAGACAAAAAGCTTCAAAAACTTTGAAAAACATACTCTGACCTGATTATTTTGCCTGAAATTAAGGTACAGTATGTACGAAAAGTTGATGTAGATGTACTGTGTTATTTTAAATTTGATGAAAGCCTGAAATCAAGTTTTTGCAGGATATCTCTAATCAACAGCAAATTTGTCAATCTAGAGGAATAGTTACGAACAACAAAAGAGTTGTTGTTAAAAGTGAATTTTTTTTCTAAGTAGTTCATTCTTGACCGCAGCAGTGCCACAAACATGGCCACTGCTTACACCAAGAGTGGTAACTGACCCGGATTGATGATTTCATCATCTTCACTGAATGAGACTTTGCCGCTATTTTTTCTCTTGCGTGGTCTCTCTGCCTTGGGTGTAGCCTCCTCAAAGCCAATATTGGTCACTCTCTTGTTGTGGGCAGTGTTGAATTCTGTCAGATTCTAACAGAACAAAAATGGAGACAATTATTGATTAAATGAACAGCCCCTCATATGAAAGAAGTGGAATGATGTTCTGATACGTGACCAAACCTTGCTTGTGGTGCAATCACAGTCTAAATATTGATAGGAGGCAGTGATATGCTTGCCCTGTCAAAGCAAAAGTGCAACTTTTCATCACTGAGTAGCTTCAATACACTACAGAAACAAACCATTGACACGAACAAGACCAACAGTACAAAAGCAGACAGACACAATCATTGCTACAAACAAAACCAGAAATCAAGACAACATACATCTAATTCCGTTTCCTCCTCTGGTAGTCCAAGCAGCCCACCCACTATTTCTTCTTCTTCTTGCTCCGTCTTAGAGTCCGTTGTTGATGTGGCAATCACAGAGGTAACTGTCTGTGGTTTTTCCCGCAGCACATAGGATCGTGTCGATGCACCAAAGCGTATCGTGCTGTCCAATGGAATCTGTTGGGGTTTATGGCCTTCCAGACGAATGGAGCCTAGAAATGTGCCATGAGCTGGCAAAAGTGTACAAAAAGAGACTTCACAAAGCAGCTGTCTTATGAATTCTGTGCACATCACTCAAATTATTTAAATAATGTGTCATAGATGAAAAAAGTTGCTTTCCAACTTACTGCTTCCCAGATCAACTAGGAAGGATCTGTTGAGATGTTTGTGATACATCAAAGCTGCATGGACTCGGGAGCAAGATGCGTGATCCAAGACAAAGTCACAAACGATGGAATTCCTTCCAAAGTAATAGACATTCTTCTCATCAATCATCATTTTCTGCAAAGAGGGAGAGAGAAAAATGGAGAATGACATGAGAAGGAGCCTTTGACTTTACTAACAAGGGTGGAAATTAAAGGTATCTCTAATAGGGACAATCTTATCAAAACAAAGTACATTGTACTTTTGAGTGATGTCAGATGAGGGCATAACCCAGTCTAGAATCTCCACAAACTGGGCCCAAACACCTCACTGAGAAACCGTACAGTTTCATCACTGTAGCACTCACTGTAGGGCTGCATACCACTGAAGGTCATGTGACTGACCAAAAGGCCAGACTTCACAATCCCTGCTCATGCTTATAGACTAACCGCGAGGATAGCCAGGCATAGGTAGCAAACCTCTGTTCAGTGCCATGTATTCTCACATCTTGCATGTTGTTTTCATTCAAGACCTCTTGATTCTAACTGTGCCGCATCTTCAAACATCCATCAATATCCATCAATGGTCAATGTGGACTCTGTCAATGTTAACAGTTACAGTAGATGGGTACTCTTAGGTCGTTTTTATGGTTACATAAAATGACCTCTGTTAACCCTTCACCTCTCCACTGACCTCTATCATCTTGCCTTCTTTAAGAACATCCAAGTGGAGTCCAGAAGGTGGCTTGCCAGCCCTATGCATGGAGTATATCAAAGCAGTTTATTAGTAAGTTTGAAAAGCACCAATGAGTGGAACTTGTGCTGTTAGGTTTACAAGTGGAAATGCTGTGTAAGAAAAAATACAGCAGTGTTGAAAAGAAAAACAGATCCGTCCTTAACATAAAGATGTACTCTATGGATAAGATCAGAGGAAACCTTGTTCAGCCCTTTTTAATATTTTTAGCTCCATGGTCTAGCACAAAATTCAAACCGCCCTCTTTTGGCCTTGAGAAATAGTTCTGTAGGACTATCGTGGCCCAGGCCCCTCGGGAAATAATAATGGCAATGTGAATGATGTGTCTGTCCCCTTCATTTCTCTCTCAGTAGCAAACATCCTCTGGTGTTTCACCTTTGAATAAGAAATTAAATATCTACGAATACGCTGTACCATGAATTCATTGACTTACTGTCAGATTATAGTCACAAAAGGCTTTTACACTACCATTTTACTTACCACGATGGAACATTGTAGCCCGACATTTTGCATTTTGAGGCTTCGCGTGGGGCATTTCATTATTAGAGAAGGTAAAGTGAGTTTGAGGGAACGGTACATTTAAGTATTTTATTTACAGAAACATTTGAATTAACAATTTGAATCAGAAAAATATAGTAAACAGCTGTTCATAGAATTAATTAAAAGGATCTCATAAGCTTTTATATTTACTATTTCATTATAAAATGACAAGCAAAACCTAAATGGTTACATCCTCTTGACATTAGAATAGTCCATATAGTTAATAAAATCCAAGAGAGGGCGCTATTTCGATATGGTTCAGAGAAAAATAGAGCGCCAGATTGCTTGAGACGGAATTCCGAGTGTTTATTTTCTCGTTTTTGTTCAGAAATTTATTGTTTTACCCTTACTTCCACCATGTCTTCTTGCGAGCGGGAAGTTCTTAAGATTGGCAAGCAGGTAGACAAACTGCTGAAGAGTGATACGGTAAGTTTTCTGGTCAAAATTTCATCGCGAAGTGTATTTTCTTTATAGGGGAAAGTACGTGTAGGCCTATAACATTTTCCTTACCCAGTAACGATATTCCCAACGCTGTCAGAATAGGCTTATGTTTTAATTATGTGCTCCAATATTAACACTACAGTTTGTGCAGTAATCGGTTTTATAAGTAGAGAGAAGGACGTTGAAAGGGTTAAGTATCCCGATCAAGCTTTTTATCTTGACCATTCAATCTTAAGTAAAAGGTAGACCTTGCTACTTTCCACCTTTTTGATGGCCTGTGGCATTTTAAAAGCTATTTGCGCTTGCTTAAGCAAATCTTTCACACAGTAGGCTATAATAATAGCTAACATATATGGAACTATTGTTCTTGAGTGTATTTTGTAGCGTTTAACCTGTATTATTGGCAAAAAATGAGGTTTTTCCTTTCCATCCTCACCTCTCATCCTTCAACGATCCGCACACATCTGCATTCTCTGTTGTCGCACGTCACATGACAATAATAGGCTTAGCGTATTCACGTACGAATGTTTATGTTGCTATGGATACCAGTCCTGATAATTCCAACTACTCTCATTTAGATTATGTATAGAGATGTCTGTTGAATCTGTGGTCAGGGAACCACACTAATTACATATCGGCTCAACCATTTTACAATAAATAAATCCCTGAATTACATGCAAAACTGACACTTTATTAGTCTCACAATTTTACAACCGTATCTTCACAAAATGTTATCAGTCCCTGAAGTACATATTTCTCAACATTGTAATTGTGTGTAAACAGCTAGCTTGAAAACGCAGCGCGTATTATGCACCCTAACATTGCAGCCCCCCACTTCCGAAATGGTCAAGCCAATATGTGATTCTTGTGGCTCTCTGACCACAGATTTCCCAGACGTCTCTATACATTTTTTTTGCCAATAATATAGGTTAAACGCTACAAAATACACTAAACGTGACCAAATATTAACTTCTAGACCCCTGTACAGTAGGAGATGGGGGGTGGCATGGAACATCCAGAGTTTTTTGGGTGTAAATATCGGTCCTCCCCCTGCAAAACCTTATAATGCTCTGCCGATTAATTTAAAGTCCCATCTTTGCCCTCTGTAAAATGATTTTTTTTCCCAATGAACATTAATACCTTGCTTTTATTTTCTCAATTTCCTTATGTAGAAATCTATTGATGCCTTAGATCTTCTCAACAAACTGAAGGAACTTCCTATTTCACTAGAGATTTTGCAGGCAAGATTGCAACTTTTAAATATTGATTTCGCTTTAGATCCTGTAGAACATCTCTGATAATTTTGTTTTACTTGGAAAGTTGACAAATGCAACAGTAAAATTTGGCCCTTTGCTTTCGAGCTTTTGGTATGTACAGTTGTCATTTAGAAGAAAAGAAATCTCTGAGAAATCTTAAAATCATGCAGAAAAATAAACAATTTACATTTTGTGTTCTCAGTGCATTTATAAATTTACTCTCTTGTTTTGGTGTGATCTTGGTTCAACAGAAGACAAGGATTGGAATGGCTGTGAACTCTCTACGTAAACAAAGCGGCAATGAAGATGTTAATACACTAGCTAAATCTCTCATCAAGGGATGGAAAAAACTGCTACCAGCACAAGGTTGGACCTTACACTACATCATTGAGCCAATTAATTAAGTAGTTAGATATTACTTGAACCTGACTACGATCTTTCCAATGTGATGGTCTGTAAATGTTATTGTAATATTGCCCCTATTGGTCATCTGGAAATGCAATCAGGCATAGTGAGTTCTGTTAATTGGGCAATGTCTATTCCATGAAATGCCACCATAGTATACACTATATTACTGTTCGTCAACTAAGATTTTTGTCAGATTGAGCATGACGGATGATATGAGTATACATAATCCTTATGTAAAGAAACTGACCAACACTTGTGCGTGCGTGCATGCAATGCCTATACATGTAGATATCATGTGTTTCTTGTCAGTAACAAGTTGAATTCTGAGCATACACCTGGTTTAGTTGCTCCTTGCTTCCCAGGACAGTAAGTTCCTATCTTCAACCAATCACCATTGATGAAAATGCTACGCCACAATATGACATGAATATACATCATCCCCAACTGTTGCGTGTATGCAGAGAGTGCCCAGGACTCTGATGCATCATTCATACAAGTTCAAGCAATGGCTATTTCTTAACCACTCAATGATTTTGCCTCATGTCATATGCAAAAAGTACACACACAAGTACACTGTACCAGGCAAAGTTCACCAAAGTTGTTGAAGTCACAGCCACATGTAATACAGTCTTCAAGCTTTTTTTTTTTTTTTTTTTTTTTTACTTGCCTGAAAGAAGAAATTACTTGTCCCGGGCAATCTGACAACCGTTAATATCGAGGCCATGGATGTTGGTTTTCCTTCCACCACTATTCTGTGGTTGGCCACTGCAGATTAACAGCTGCACATTTTGAATTAGAATGGTTCCTCATAGGGAAATCCTTTTAGAGGGGGGAGGGGACCAGGAAAAAGAGTACTTTTACTCTTGTGAAAATGATGACAAAAATTGATGACCCCTTACATACACGGTTCCATAAATAAGGGAAGTCTTACTGTTAGATTCTGAAGGATTCATTTTGGTCAAAATTAAATGAAAGGTTGAGTGAAAATTGCGATTGATTGCAATTTAGAGTTGTCTCTACTGATGTAGACTTTCAGATCTTTTGAATTTTTTAAACCATTTTCAATACTTTTTTATCACAGCTCCTACCAAAACTAATAGTTCCCAGGAGAAGAAGAAAGACAGTGGAGAGGATTCTCGTGAGCCATCACCTCCCCTGCCTAATGGAAGCGGTGATGGCAAATCCAGCGGATCCGAGAAGAGCAAGAGCTTACCTACAGCCAAGACCAATGATGTAGTTCGGGAAAAATGTGTACAGATGATTGTAGGAGCACTGAAAATACCAAGTGAGTTACTGGTGATACCAAGTGAGTAAATTGTGTGTATTTCACTTGAGTATTTTTACCATACAGCAACCCTCAACTTGTGATTGTTGGAAAGTTTCGGTGTTAAACCTTGCGTGCTGCTGTACTTTGTGCCATTAAATATCCAGCAAAGACAAATAGAAAACAACCTTGACTTCCTTAAATAATGCTTTTCTCATTTTGTTTTTCCTTTTTTCTCTCTAGTTGAAGGTTGTGACCTAGATCAGTTTGATGATATCAAAGAGATTGCAGCCGAGATTGAAGATTATATCCTTTGATATTAAAGTTTACAGTTTAATTTTTTTTAGATACAATGTTATGTAAAGTAAAAACATCCTTAACCTCTTCCATACGTATCTACACTGAGTTTGTAAATACTGACATGAAGTACAAGAATCGCGTGCGAAGCCGAGTTGCGAATCTGAAAGATCAAAAAAACCCAGAACTGAGGAGGAGAGTCTTGACGAGAGAAATCCCTCCGCAACAAATGGCCAAGATGACCTCAGATGTAAGATAATCCTGGCTTGTAAAGTTATTGAAAGTACAAAATCTGATAAACAATAGGCAACAGTTTATTCAACCTGTAAAAAGCATGTCTTACAAAGCTATCTTCTTTAACCACTTCGTGCCAGGGTTCCCAGAAGTTGGCTTTATACGCAAAGCCAGGTTGACCGAAATCGAACAAAGGAGCTTGGCCTTGTAACAAAAGACTATACTCGGAACAAAAAGACCGGGCTGCTGGGAATTGCCAACATTTATTCAGTTGTCAACAGAAGAGGAAATCGGTCATTGGTTTGAATGATTTTACCACTCTTTGTGGCATTCAGTGTGAGCAGATTACCACTGGGGACAAAAGCGCTCCAGCGTTCAAGGGATGAGCGATACAATACCACTTCACACTAATCTGGTCCGCATTTGGAAAGATGCCAGCAGTGCACTAGGCTAGTTTCAGGAACAAAATAAAATAACATAACACTACACAAGCTTGGCTCTCTTTACAAGGCAGCAGACCTGGCTGAAATACTCGGGCGTCAATAGATGTTGTCTGTCAGATAAGAGTAGCCACCAGACAGTCATTAGTGTGGGTGTAAATGTTCCTGTAAATGAAGTTATGAAATTCTGAAGAATTTTGAAAACGGAAAATCATAAAATCCCCCGGGAATACGTCATGCAACTTCACATTTGGTCACTTGTACTTTGACTTCTTGGTTTATATTGCTTTAGGAAATGGCAAGTCAAGAGCTTAAAAACATTCGTGATGGCTTTACGAAGGAAGCCATCAAGGAGCACCAGATGGCTGTCACTGGTGGAACTAAGACAGATCTACTTAAATGTAGCAAATGCCTCAAGAGAAATTGCTCTTACAATCAGGTAAGTCGTTAACAGATCTGCGCATATGTTAAAGAGGGCTCTACTTCACTTAAGACGGTGTATGGCATGTCCAAATCAACTAGCTGTGGTCGTGGGTATCATTCATTTCTGTGGGTACTTGCTCTAGCCATTAACCAGTGTCTTCTGTTTGCATTCATGTTTTTTGAAGTCACAGCCATAACATTCAGACTCAGCCTGAGTGAATGAGGCTACAGCACTTGCCATGCAGATCATTTAATTCAAGTATATTCTTCATCTTTGGGAAACTGTACAAGAGGGCAGCATGTAGCTTAACCCTGAGAATGAATTGAGACAAGTTTTACCGTTCTTCAAATCTGACCCACCCTAATAAGTCTAGAATAGAACTTGAAATCATACCAGGATGTGACACCATGTACCTCCAAGATTCGTGTGCTGTACAAACCAGAGAAGTATGGTTCTGTTACCTCTACTGAGGAAATTTTTGTACGTGGAAGCTGAAGAAAATCCATTGTTTGAAACTTTTCTTAATAAATTTGGTAAATGTGATTTTAAACTACTCATTTATCTGTCCATAGGTTCAAACAAGAAGTGCTGATGAACCCATGACGACCTTTGTATATTGCCATGAGTGTGGACACAGGTGGAAGGTAGGCCTAATTAATTGATTTGTTTGCTGGATGGCAGATTGGTTACTTTCTTGCCAACAATCATCTCCTCTATGACAATGTTGCTTGAGTCTTTGTCACGTATCTCTGGCAAATTCTCTTGTGGTACACCAGTAACTCAGAAACTTCATCTTTTTGTGGTCACTTACATAAACCGAACATAAAGACTGTACATAAACCAAATTATTGTGTGTCCAAACTCACATTTACTTGGCAAAGGTACCAGCACCAGATAGAAATTGTACCACAATTAACTCTCCAAGTTCAAACCTTTTCACACACAATTCAACGTTTAAGCCTGTGTTTATTATAACACCAACTAAACTAGATTAAACACAGCCAACGGAACTTACTGTATTACATTTATAACAATGAAGTCAGCAATAATTAATGCAGTCCACAAAGACTTATCCACCAATTTCCTTTTAATCCTTACAGTTCTGTTGATGTTGGCAGAGTCTTCATGTCATATGTAATCCTGTACATTTTCCAAGGTTTGTGTGTCACCCTCTACTTGTCTAACCTGTTACCGACATGATGACTGCTGGATCAGCCTGATATGGCCTAGACTATGCTTCTTATGTTCAAATGAGGAATGTGTATACAAAAGCCTCTTTGGTGAAAGGATTTTCACAAACCATGAAAGTTTACTTAATCCTAGAGTGTTTATGTGTTATGTAAGCATACACCTTGGTTGTGTTCTGGTTGCTAGTTGAAGGGCTACATTAATAGGGATAGCATTTCACCATGTTGACTGTTATCCAGTTTTTTTGAAACTGAGAGATATTTTTAAAATGTCTTTTGTGGCCAAAGAAAACCCTTTTGCAAGGTTAAAACCATTTTGCAATTTTTTTTTGTGCTTACATTCAAGTAGCAAAACAATTACAGTAGCATTCCTGGTTATGGTCGCTGATAATGTTGTAACCTTTTTGCAGAGAATATACACAAACTGCAGATCAAGATATGAGGCTATAACAAGTCTCTTCACTTGGAACAGTATTTTCTCAGACCACTGCATGTGCACTGTCTTGGAAGTCTGTGATTTCCCCTGCAACTGTTTTCTTTATTTTTCCATTTTAAGATCACTTCAGTGTTCATTTGTGTTCGTCCAGTTACTTAGAATTTCAGACTTACATTTAATAATGATTGTACATGTATTATTTTGGAGACCTCTGGCATTCATTAGCACAAACAAAACAAATATGCTGTCCTTCCAGCCCTTACCAAATGTTTATCAAACTATTGAAACCAACCGAACCTCCCAGATCCATTTTGCCTTTGTTCTTGTTAGGGGTATTTCCAGGGTTTATTGTTCTGTTCAAATGGTGTCAGGATTGAACTCTAAAAATTCTATCATTCAAATTTTGTTCTGTTTAATTTTTAATTATCTTGTATTGTCTTTTTTGTTCTATATAAATATATTTATTCCGAAATATCCATGAGAACAGAGACATGCCAACCCTTGGATAAGTTGCATGTCAGAAATATTCTGATACATTTTGAATCCATTTTTAATCCTGATCTCATTTTCCATTGAATAATCGGCAATTACTGCTGAAAAGCAAATGAAACTGTAGTTCCAATCCAAAACCTAATTAAAATAAGGACAAAGTCCCTCCCTTGAAATCCTAGAGGTAACGAGTAGACGTTTACAGATTGTGTAGCAAAGTTGTATAAATTTTAAGTTCTTTGTAACGAACAATAAAAATCTGTTCATCAACAGATGCCCCGTGCGGAAGTATTGATTTTAACTTTGCTCTGTAGAGACTTAGTTTTTCTTGTTCATTTCTTCAACAATGTCCTTGGAACACAATACGAGGGAAGACTCAATTTCTAATTCATAGTTCAGGTTCTACTCGCTGTAGATCTCAAGGAGATACCACTGAGGCATTTTTCCCACCTTGGATAAGTTTGTTGTCCGTTTCTCCAAGGTGCTATGCTCTCTGGCATTTTTCCCCAGCTCCTCCAACCCTGATCGCTGGGGATTGCTTGTTCCTCCCCAGATACCATGACTCAAAAGGAGCCTTGCTTTGCATTGCTCCATCGTTGTAGTGTCTGTTTGAATCCATGTAGGCTATCATTGCTGTAGTCTCGCAAAGTTCGCATGAGATTCTTCCAACCAGTAGATTCTGCACACGAATCCCTGTCTTGTTGAAATGGCCATCTAAACGTATACCAAAATCTTTGATTTCCTATTCTCTTTTAGTTGAATTTTGCAGACAATTGTTTTCCCCTTCATTTGATGATATTCTTTATTCAGTTTTAGAATTTTTTTTATCGAATTCCTGCGGTTTAGTGGTCTGATTCACAAAAGTATTTATAAGCTTAGTTCCCAAAGAATGTCCTGAAAAGTGGTCCATACTTTGTCATTTTTTATTCTACTTTGTTATCTTTCACTAAGTTCCCTATTGTTTCTCCATACTCTCCGTGTCATAGTCCTGCCTGCATGGACTCTGTCCATGTTCTATGTCAAAAAGGATGGAAAAGAGGGAGGGTCGGGATTCATAAAGGGGAACGAAACGAAAGGTGATAAGTCTTTGTATATATTGCATGTCACCTCAGGCATGAAAACAGACAAAGCATTTCGAATTAAGTTGACCCTTTTTGCACGAGAATTCGTAAAGTATACTCCGCGGATAGACGCCCAGTGCAGTAGTGGAATTCCAATAAAACGAACCGGCTTTGTTCAAATGTTTGGTTTGTGTGGAACTTCAACTTCTTTCCTTATCTGTTTATACTGGACACAGCCACCTGACAATTGAAACGTATTATTTATTGGCAATTAGTTCCAACACGATTTTACTTTGGATCGAGTATTGTCGTCGAATGACCACAATTTACATGACAAATTTCCCGCTTTCTACCCAACCAGATGCTGTTATTGTTTCGTACAGCACTAGTAGGTAGTTCTGGGTCGGATTTCCCTGCTTTGAGTCAAGGAGTCTGGAATTTATTTTACTTTTCGTTTCCATTGATGGGGAAACTGAACTGGTGCTTTCCTCTCACTTGGCTTTCGTCAGCAACTTGAGAAAAAATAATTGCATTGAAAGTTTATTTGATGCAAATCCCACCAAGATAACAATAGAAATAGGTTTCATTACATTCTTTTCTCGTCACGTCCATGTTTATTTTATTGGTTTCTTCAAAAATCAGTTCAAAACTCGTTCTGAGTGGTTGGAAGATTACCAAAAAAATAGCAATTAGCTTGGCATAAGACTAAGTACCCTTATTTATTATCCACATCTTTATGAAATCTCTGTTGTCATACGAAATGTGACACTGCTATAGTAACCAAAGTTAAATTACATGTACCTTGAGCCGTGTCCCGCTTTATTTGCAGATTACTTCTTTTTGATTCCCTAGGAAAATTATAAAAACAGGGCAGTGCGGTGATGATTTTTGTCTTACGTGGAGAAAATTAACGATCTATACCATAGAGAGGTGAGTTGTCACCCAGATGCAGACACAAGCTGCCGTTTCTGTCGATGTTTCCCGCCAGTTTGTCTCCCACTGATCCAAACACCTCGTCAACTGCATCCTTATTTTTTCAGACGAAGAGATCGGCATAGCCTCTTTCACTAGTCGTTTCTGTCGTTCTCTGAGTAGGCTAAGCTCTGACAAGCCCGCACTGACTGCTTCCAGCCTGGCTTGTAGACGATGGCACCGCTGGAATGGAATTCTGTAGGGAGAGGTCCCTTGCTTTCTTAAGATGGCATCAAAGTTGATGCTGTGGGAATACATCTACCTGGACGTCTGGTCTTTCCTTTAATTCCACTCATCTTTGCGTCAGAGTGGGTCACTGTGCAGATGCTCTGACGTTATAGATCCACTTGTATGTGTAGGCTGTATAGGCAACGCAACGATTGCACAGTCTCTTTCAATCTAGAGATGACATTTTGAGCTGCTCTTTTTCACACTGATCGTGAACGAAACTGACGTAGATGTCTTCTTAATCTCTTAAAGTAAGAATTTCACCATTCACCGCCGCGCCACGCCGGGTACAACGGCTTGGTCAAAAAGATAGGAATGTTCAATTCCTCTTGCTCTCCTGTTAAACCCAGAATTTGCATGAGCCTTCAGCAAAGAGTGCTCCTCATTCAGACTTTGATTGAGAATGCGAGTGTCGGTCAGTCCTACAGCGTTGGCGGGCCTTTTGTAGAACAGACGCACACTCGGTCAGTTCCCTGTCGAAAAGAAATTTTTCCAGAGTTCAGTAGAGTTTTGCTTGAGACATCTGAAGCGTCAATAATGCGATGAGTCAAAAACAATCGAGTTTGGGATACATGATTCTAACTGTGTGAATTGCACATATATGGTGTCTTTGGGAGGTCAATGATCCCGATAAAAGACATGCATCATTGTTTGACGCTTGGAACCGTGATGGACCCTGTATTAAAACGAAAAGACACTAAATTTTTCATCTCCCATAATGACATTCCCGCTAATGCGGGCAGAATGTACAAGCTTGTTGGTCATTGAATTTTGCAGACAGCATCAATATAAGAAAGGAGACCACGTTTGAATGCGTACTAAACGTTACGATGCTCTCGTGCTCATTTTTTAAAAAGAATCCTTGGTAAAGCAGGAAACAAATTGAAACAGCGACCTCTGGTGATAAGGAGGCTTTTTGGCAAATTGATGAACTTTCACTGGATTCGCGCTTGGCGCTTTTGTTCAAGTCTACATGCAGTCTTGGTCCAAGGCTGGATTTGCATTGTTTTGTCTCCGTACACCCGCGGCCTGTTCTGTCCGCCCACAGATCACACGTACCGTGAAGGGTGCAGTCCACCAATTCAAGCAATAATTTCGGCCGAGCTGATTAGTAGGAAAGTGTCCCTTACAGCAGATTGTGTGTGTCTTTGCCAGGATAAACTTCCTGAGTCCAGTGGCGTAGCTAGGATTTTACTGGGGAGGGGGGACCAGTATCTTATGGGGGGAACCAGCTTTTAGTGGTGTGTTTTTTTGTGGGAAAGTTTATGTTAGCCTCGTTCAATTTTTTCGCCAGTGGGAGGGGGGCACTATAAGGATTTGTTGGGGGAAAGTGCCCCCCAGCCCCTCCCCCGTGGGTACGCCACTTCCCGAATCTTTCATCTGTGGGCAGAATGGGGAAAAAACTGTTGAAAAATGGTTCTAGGTGCCTATGAACGTGGAGGGATGGCATTCGGAAAAAAAATTAAAAGAAATTGAAAGATTCAAGACCAAACAATAATTTAATTTTTATTTGAGAAACCCCAGGGATGTTGGCTTGCATGTTATTGAGCCCTGAACAATGTTAATTTTACACTGTTTTCAGTTGGGCTTGAATTGGTGGACTGTACCCACAGACATGAATAACCATCAGTGCACCATCCGTGCTCATCGTCTGGCGCCCTCTATTGACCTTAATGAATATACAGTTTTAGTTGGCATTATTATTTACATGTCCAAAGAAATTGCAAAGTAATATAGTATGGGTTTTGCCGCAACTGCAGTGACGCGAAACGGGAAAAGAGGATTATCACCTTTTTATTTTGAAGCCGTGAACAGAAAAAATTGATACATTGCTGGAATAAAATTTGAAAATCTGAACTTGTAGTTAAACCTTTTGATAACGCTCTGGTCATCCGCAAGAAATCACTAAATGCGTGCGACGAACGTGAAGGAACTTGAAACCCGAGGGGCTAAAAAAAACCAAGACACCCCACACACTGAAAAATTGACGCTGAATTTAATGCCGCCCATAGATTACGTCACTTGTTGTATGAATGGGGCGGACTGTGGACCGGAAATGCACTACAAAACTTATCTCCAGGGCTTTTGGACGTTAAGACTTAACCAAAAGGTAGTTTGCTTGTAAAAATTCTTTCTCTGTAGCTAATTAGATCTGTAAAACTCAACGCAATGCATTTTTAAAAAATGGTTACTATATTTAAGGTATAAAATTTCATTTTATTGTGCAAGATATCTCCTTGAATAATTAACAGTCTATTGACTAAATTTTAGTCACCCCTTAAAAAGAATGGAATATACCACCTGTCAACGAGTAAGCGGCATACTTCAAAAGCTACCCATGCCGTTGTGTTTTTGTGCTTGTGTGGTGCGCGTGTGTACGTGTGCACACTTGAAGCAATGTTGAGGTTCAACAGTGACCTGCTTTGAGCAGTCACATAACTCTGTGTACTGATGTTCTCCACAACTAACTGCAAAAGGACTAGTTTTCTCTTGCGGGGAGTGCTTGTTCGGCCCAGGCCATTTTGTCAAATGTCAGTGTTTCCTTGTTAATCTTTTCTCCAGTTTCGATGAAATTGAAGCTTATTTTCTTGTCTCTGAGCTCCAGTAATTCACTTGAACAATCTGCAGAGCAGACTGTCACTTGAGTCAGTTGCGTGCGACGTTTTTGGCGCCGTTTCTTTTCAGCTCAAGTTCAACACAGTTTCTTCATCTGACAACATGCTGGAACGACTGTTGCTGATTTTTGTGGTTGTTGCGATGGTTTGGCAGTCGGGATGGGTTAATGCCCAGGAAACTTCAGGTAGGTTGTCGCCAATTGTTTTGCGGTATTCGTCGCTTTCCCAGGTCACTGCGGTTTTTTAGTTGTGGTTCTTGGTAGAGTTCAACCGCATTGTTAACCAACCGCGAACTAGTTCACGTGTACAAACGACCCACTTTTCGTTCAGTGTGAATTATCCTTTCTAATGATTAGAGCAGCGAAAAAAGATGGAGATATACTACATGGGTGGAAGGGGGGGTGGAGAGATTTCAATGGAGGAACGGTACTGTATTAATTTATTAAAATAAGAAAAGTTTCAAATTTAATTTTTGAAATTTGAACTGTGGCCCACGTGGATTTTATCGTTAAACATATTAAATCACAAGGCTCTAGAAGAAGCCCTAGTGTGTAGTGTAAAGGATGGAAGAGAACTGTTCTAACTTAATAACTAGAGGTAGGAAAAGATCGAACTCTGTACATGCAATTTATAATTGTCTTTTACTCAGTGTGTCTAAGAAGTGCAGTGTGGTAACTGAAGCCCCTCTTACAATGTTCGCAATGTGACAAAGACTTGCTTTCCCGCCTGCTGTGCAGAGAATTCGACAGGAAAGAGAAAGATGTATACTTAATGTTCTATTGATCTCAGGAAAAAGGGCATTTCTTATCCATTGATAAATAAAGAACTTGGGCTTTAGGTCTGACTGAATGACGACAATTTTCACATAAAACCAGAATCTGAGCCGAAAAAGGCACTCTATTCAAACACGAACACAAGACAGGTGAATGGAACTTCTATAGTACATTGAGCATTAACACCAGAGAGAATTCGTGTGCAGCAAAACCAAGGTCAGCAAATGTGTTCCATTACAATATAGGTGCGTTGAAGGTGGCATAGGATGGAAGAGTGTCTCTCAAATGCTCTCGCATGCAACTAAAATTTCTTTAAGAGTTTTGTTACTTTTTTCAAATGTACATGTTGCTGTAATCTGTAAGACCACTCCTTGATGATGTGAAATTGCATATTTTTCATGAGTGATTTCTGTTTCAAGTCACAAAGTATGCGGAACTTGAGAACTTGATTGCAGCCAAGCAATGCTGTGCACTGAACCAAAGAATTATAGCCACCATGCACAAGTGTGCATGTGTCAACACTTGGGTGTTTGAAGTGCTTCACTGAATGAAAATATAACTACATGTACTAATGGCAATTTCCAAAAACGAGTTGTTAGCCACATCGTTAGAAATGGTCTTCTTGCACTGCTTTCTTTAAAATAACAGCTTGCCAGAAAGAATTGTTTCATAGGCCACAGGGAGCTGATCATTTCTTAACTATTTTTAAACCATGTATGCTTTTCAACAATAATTTGGTTACTTTATGGACAAATGGACTCTAATTGTAACAGGTGTACATGTACATAGATTGGTTTGATTCTTGTACACTCTGTGATCACTGAGTTTTAAAATTTCCTCTTTTTGAGTTCAGTATATCAGCAGATTAAACATTCCGCTTACAAGATTAGATTGTTGAAATAAACATCATTATATGTTTAATTTGTGTAATGTGGCTAGTGGCAATGCTGAAGGTATAATTTATACAACTTTTTTGTTGTGATGCTTTTATGCAACTTTGAAAGATATGAACACAATAATAGCAAAAATATTTTGGAAACTGCAAAGAAAACATTTTTCCAAAGATCTCCTCTGGGGTAGTTGTTGCTGAGGCTGTATTAGTGCCTGCAGAGAAACAACCGTACCATTTTGTTTAGTCTCTTTCTACATTTGCTCCCTAGTTTACATAAAACCAGTAAGAAAACATGCCGCCACTAAGTCCATGAAACCCCAGGGAATAATAACGCATCTTTTCTATGCAGCTCTTTCCATACAGGGTCAACGTTTTTTCTTGATATAGTCACCTACACTGTATGTATATGGATGCTCACTTGTTAGTACATTCTCCTTTCGGAGTTGTGATAGATTTGCGTCACATCCAAAATTATCCCAAGTTTATCGTAAACATTTGTAACTGTTGAAGTTGTGGGGACATTTTAAGGCAGACATCAAGGGTTGTTGATGCAGATTGCTTGCAAAGATGTTTGTCGCTTACTGCTTGAGTGTAATCCTATCACAGACCCAGAAAGTATTAACACTAAGGTTGTGGAAGGGCATAGACCACCCCAGGTTAGGGCTTTGCTCAGGAACATAGATGTTTGCGCAGAATGAAATGGTTCAAGCCATGTATCAGTTTAGCAAACTTCTAAAGAGTGGGAAAATGTAAATGCCTGAAGCTGTTAAATGAAAACGAAGGAATGAGATTCAGTTTTCTGGAAAATGGATTCTCAAAGGATGTCGGTCACTCAAACTCAAAAAGAAATTATGTCATTATGTTATGTTTTAGTAGAAAGCAGGAAATATTCTTTCTTGTGAATGGCACAAACCCTCTGTCATCTTGTCATTTTAGAAAGCTTTTCCAGATCCAATGAAATCTCTGGATTCTTGAGCCTGCTTAGCATATCAATGATGGTTGGCATGCCATAGAAACCAGAGTTCCCCGTCCCTCCTTCCACCACCGGTTCATTTCAGAACCCCACGTACTATCAAAATATCCCTGGTGCTACCGCAAACTTATTTAGTTTACTTGCTACTTCCACCATGAAAACCTCAAATCTCACCCTCATTCCATATCAAAGTGATTGATAGAATGTCCTTCCTAATTAGGATCAACGTTTGGGCTAATTATACCCCTGATTACATACTAGTGCACTAATCAAACTTTGGGATGAGGAAGCACCCCACCAATGGTCAGAATGTTTGTTTTCATGCTGGTTGTGTTTGCCTGTGATGAGTTGTGGTCATGATGATTAGTTGTACCTGATCAGTTCTGTGAGTTAGAGCATAGGTATTGGTTGCTTAGCAGTTTTGGAATGAGGGTATAAATTAGTTTGTTCACTTTTATCAACATCCAACAATGGAGGTGTGAAGTTTAGTTGTAAATAGAGCAGGTATCTGGTATGTTTGGTTAATAGCCTTAGTAGAGAAGAAGAAAACCTTCCACAGGATGAGGTTAAGAGTCAGTGGTGTCTTTTCACCTGGGATCGGTTTATGTACAGTCCCCCTGACAACCAGAAGCACTGGATGGACTTTAAGGCATCAAAACCACAATTTGAACTGAGTTTTTTCCCTCATTTTTAGAGGGGGAGGGTGGACTGAAGTGTCGTGCATACATTGTGACCATTACAAGAGAGCCTGGTACAGCAGTAATATGGCTGTTCCTCTTCTGTGGTACAATTTGTTGCTGTTGCTAATGTTCCCCTCCGACCAGTTCTGATGTGCCAATAATTATTTCCGGAGATCCAAACTCCCCCTGGTTGGGTCTAATCCAACCCTCAGTGATTGACATCTAGGACGTGCTTGGTAGCCGGTGCCGGAATTAATCAATTGTTTCCTCCCTTCGAACTTGCCGGAGGTGCATTTTGGGAAACACCCCACCAGTTGGCAAATGTTTCCATAAGCTTCAGTTGATAGATGTGAGAAAGTGACAACCTGTTATGTTACCTCAGTCCAGCAGGCAGCAGGTCTAGCAACATGTGCATGATTCAAAAGGACAAGAAAATTCCTGCAAAATAGTACTTGAAAATAAAACAACTATCATGAAATTAAACATTTTCATGCCTTGAAATTTTGTCTTAATCCAGACACTTGTTGCTTTACGTAGCCTACCTGTTTTTTTGTGAGTGGGCTATTTGAGTAGTTCCCTGATCTTTTTGACTTAAACACATACACATAGTAGGCCAAAATTTGAAATAAAGATGCCCTTCAGTTTGGAGAGGCTAAACATAGCACATGGAAATGTACATGGAAATGTATGTCACATTGTTAGTACTAAGGGCAAATTACTAGCAAGTTTCTCTCTTTCCCGGAAAGATTTTAGTTGTTATGTAAGCAACTATATAACTTTGCCATCCAAAATTTGAATCTGAAGACTATACATCTTTGCCTTTATTGTTAATGCACAATGGAAAATATCCACTTACCTCACTGCAGTCCCAATTCAACCTTAGGTAGAGGATTTTGACCTTTTTAAATCCTACAAAGTCTTCACCGACAGTCACTCCTACCCTCTGGGATTCTGGTGCTTAATGGACCTCACCAGTAAACCTATAGGTCTTTGGGGGGGGCATTGGGTGAGGACAATCTCTCCCACACTTGTGTAAAAAATTGAATGAATGTGGAGAATAAGTGACCAAAGTACAAAAATGCCTACAAAGCATGGAGCCAGATTTATGCTTGGAATAAAAGGAGTGACCTGGCAGTTTGACTCGGAATAGGCAAGGTCTTTTGATCATCCATAGTTAAACTTCAATATGACATTATTGCCCAGGAATGTTCTTATTGAACTATTTCTCACTGGATTAAATGAAATAATTGGTTGGCATTATATGGAGAAATTGTCTGGAAAATAGTATTACTCAATTAATTTAATTGCAAGTCTATGTACAGCTATTATATTTTTGAATTATGAAGTCTTGCAGGTTTGAGTTGTGCTGTTCAATTGTTCTTTTTGATTTAAAAGAACAGAAGCCTCCAGCCATTTCGTAAATGAAAAGTTGATGTTCTGTGAATTAAAAAAAGGGGAACTAAAATTCACTGAAATGTTCTACAAAGACATTACAAATTGATGAGCCATCAGAATTAGTGAAGGAAAAATAAAAACTATTTGAATTTTCTTCATTGATGATGCCGGCCTCTGGGTAGGGCCTCTGGGTTGGCTACCCGGTGTGGCCGCTGATTGTAAGATGTCCAAATCTCTGTTTGCCAAGAACCTTTTCCATTTTGTTGCCTCATCAATGGAGGTTGTTTGCTGAGCTTAACCAAGCAGACAGCTAGGATATCTGTGTCAATATGACTGGTGTTAGTGCATTTGTGGTCTGTCATTTGAATTGGAGGAAGTGCTGGCATCATCCTGCAAGGGCATTTAAGAAATCAAAACACTGTAAGGTGGTCCTCTGTTAGTCTTGGAGACAATTAAAAACTCCATTTTCCAG